TATATGCCCAAGATTCATATAGGTGGGTCTTGAGGTAGACTGATTTCCAGTTTTTTGAAAACACCATATTGATATCCAAAGTGGCTGTACTAGTTTGCACTCCCACTAGCAGTGGGAGAGTGTTCTCCTTACTCTACATCCTCTCCAACAAAAGCTGTCATCAGTGTTTTTGATTTTAGCCATTCTGACAGGTGTAAGATGGTATCTCAAAGTCATTTGGATTTGCATTTCCTTGATGACTAAATATGTTGAACAATTCTTTACATTTAGTTAGGACATTTGAAATTCTGTTGCGAATGCTCTGTTTCGATCTGTACCCAATTTTTTAATTGGATTATTTGGTATTTTGAAGTCTAGTTTCTTGAGTTCCTTATGTATTTGGGAGGCCAGCCTTCTGTCATATATGAGGTTGGCAAAGATACATTCCCATCCTGTAAGCTGTCATTTTGTCTTATTAACCAGATTCTTTGCCTTACAGAAGCTTTTCAGTTTCAGGAGGTCCCATTTATTAGTTGTCCATCTCAGTGTCTATGCTACTGTTGTTATATTCAGGAAGTAGTCTCCTGTGCCAATGTGTTAAAGGCTAGGTCCCACTTTCTCTTCTATCAGGTTCAGTGTAATTGGATTTATGTTGAGGTCTTTGATCCTCTTTGGACTTGAGTTTTGTGCAAGGTAATGGATATGGTTCTATTTATATTCTTCTACATGTCCACATCCAGTTATTCCAGTACCATTTGTTGAAGATGCTTTCCTTTTCCACTGAATAATTTTGACTCCTTTATCAAAAATCAGATGTTCATAGGTATATGGATTTCTATCATGATCTTCGATTTGGTTCCTTGTGTCTGTTTTTATGCCAGTACCAAGCTGTTTTTATTACTACAGCTCTATAGTAGAGCTTGAAGCCAGGGATTGTGATGCCTCCAAAAGTTCCTTTATTGTACAGGATTGTTTTAGCTATAATAGGTTTTTTGTTTTTCCATACAAAGTTGAGTATTGTTCTTTTGAGGTCTGTGAAGAATTGTGTTGGGATTTTGATGGGCCTTGCATTGAATCTGTAGATAGCTTTTGGTAAGATTGCCATTTTCACTATGTTAATCCTACCAATTCATGAGTATGGGAGATCTTTCCATTTTCTGATATCTGCAATTTCTTTCTTCAAAGACTTAAAGTCTGTCATACAGGTCTTTCACTTGTTTGGTTAGAGTTATCCCAAGATATTTCATATTATTTGTGGCTATTATATAAAGGGATTTGTTTCCCTGATTTCTTTCTCAGCCCATTTATCATTTGTATATAGGAGGGCTACTGATTTTTTTTTAGTTAGTCTTGTATCCTACCACATTACAGAAGGTGTATATTGGCTGTAGGAGATCCCTGGTAGAATTTTTTGGGGCCACTTTTGTATATAATCATATCATCTGCAAATATTGAAAGTTTGACTTCTTCATTTCTAATTTGTATTCCATTAATCTCCTTTAGTTGTCTTATTGCCCTAGCTAGAACTTTGAGTACTATATTAAATAGATATGGAAAGAGTGAACAGCCTAGTCTTGTTCCTGATTTTAGTGAATTGCTTTGAGTTTCTCTCCATTTAATTTGATGTTGGCTGTAGGCTTGATGTATATAGCTTTTATTATGTTTAGCTATGTTCCTTGTATCCTTGATGTCTCCAAGACCTTTATCATGAAGGGGTGTTGGATTTTGTCAAAAACCTTTTCAGCATCTAATGAGATGATTATGTGGATTTTTTTCTTTCAGTTTGTTTATATGGTGGATTAATTGTCAATTAATCTCATATGTTGAATCACCCTTGCATCTCTGGGATAAAGACGACTTGATCATGGTGGATTATATTTTTATGTGTTCTTGGATTTGGTTTGCCAGTATTTTTTGAATATTTTTGCATCAATGTTCATATAACAGAGATTGGTCTGTAATTCTCTTTCTTTGCTGGACCTTTGTGTGGTTTGGGTACCAGGGTAACTATAGCCTCTTAAAAAGGCAATGTTCCTTCTGTTTCTATTGTGTCAAACAATTTGAGAAGTATTGGTATTAGCTCTTCTTTGAAATTCTTGTAGAATTCTGCCCTAAAATTGTCTGGTCCTGGGCGTTTTTTGCTTGGTAGATTTTTTATGACTGCTTCTATTTCCTTAGGGGTTATAGGTCTATTTAAATAATTTATCTGGTCTTGATTTAGTTTTGTTATATGGTACCTATCAAGAAAATTGTCCATTTCTTTTAGATTTTCCAATTTTGTGGAGTATAGCTTTTTGAAGTATAATCTAATGATTCTCTGGATTTCCTCAGTGTCTGTTGTTATATTCCCTTCTCACTTCTGAATTTATTAATTTGGATCTTCTCTGTCTGCTCTTTGGTTAGTTTGGATAAGGGTTTTTCTATTTTGTGGATTTTCTCCAAGTACCAACTCTTTGTTTCCTTGATTCTTTGTATTGTTCTCTTTGTTTCTATTTTGTTTATTTCAGCCTTGAGTTTGATCATTTTCTGCCATCTACTCCTCCTAGGTGTATACTTCTTTTTTGTTCTAGAGCTTTCAAGTGTGCTGTTAAGTCACTAGTGTGAGATTTCTCCAAATTCCTTATGTAGGCATTTAATGCTATGAACTTTCCTCTTAGCACTGCTTTCATTGTGTCCCTTAAGTTTAGTTATGTTGTACATTCATTTTCACTGAAATCTAGGAAGTCTTTAATTTCTTTCTTATTTCTTCCTTGATGCAGTGGTAATTCAGTTGAGAGTTATTCAGTTTTCATGAGTTTATAAGCTTTCTGTAGTGTACATTGTTGTCGAATTCTAACTTTAACCCATGGTGATCCAATAAGATATAAGGGGTCATTCCAATTTTTTGTATCTGTTGAGATTTGCTTTGTGACCTAGCATGTGGTCAATTTTAGAGAAGGTTCCATGAGGTGCTGAGAAGGTGTATTCTTCTGTGTTTGGTTGAAATGTTCTGTAGATGTCTATTAAATCCATTTGAGTCATAACTTCTCTTAGTTCCCTTATTTCTCTGTTAATTTCTGTCTGGCAGACCTGTCCATTGGTGAGAGTAGAGTGTTGAAATCTCCCACTATTAACGTGTGATTTAATCTTTAGAAATGTTTCTTTTACAAATGTGGGTGCCCTTGAATTTGGGGCGTAAATGTTCAGAATTAGGACTTCATCTTGATGTATGTCTCCTTTGATGAATATAAAATGTCTTTCTCCATCTCTGTTAATTTTAGCTTGAAGTCTACTTTGTTAGATATTAGGATAGCTATACCAGCTTGGTTCTTGGGTCCATTTGATTGGAAAGTATTTTCCCAACCCTTTACTCTGAGGTAAGAGTATCTGTCTTTGAAGTTGAGGTGTGTTTCTTGTATGCAGCAGAAGGGTGGATCCTGTTTTCATATCCATTCTGTTAGCCTATGTCTTTTTATAGGCAAATTAGTCCATTGAAATTAAGGGATATTAATTACCAGTGATTGTCAATTTCTGTTACTTTCAGTTTTGGTGGTGGTGGTGGTGGTAGTAGTGTGTGTGTGTGTTTCCATTCCTTGGGTTTTGCTGGTGTGAGATATCTGTTGCCTCTGTTTCATGAATGCAGCCAACTTTCTTGGGTTGGAGTTTTCCTTCTAGTACTTTCTGTAGGGCTGGATTTGTGGATAGGTATTGTTTAAATCTGGACTTGTCATGCAATATCTTGTTTTCTCCATCTATGGTGACTGAAAGGTTTGCTGGCTATAGTAGTCTGGGCTGGCATTCATTGTTTCTTAGTGTCTGCAAAACATCTGTCTAGGACCTTCTGGCTTTTGGATTCTCCATTGAGAAATCAGGTGTAATTCTGATATGTCTGCCTTTATAGGTTAATTTGGCCTTTTTCCTTTATAGCTCTTAATATTCTTTCTTTCTTCTGTATCTTAGAGTTTTGATTATTATGTGATGAGGGGACTTTTTTTCTGGTCCAGTTTATTTAGTGTTCTGTAAGCTTCTTATACCTTCATAGGTATGTCCTTTTTTGGGTTGGGGAAGTTTTCTTCTATGATTTTGTTGAATATATTTTCTGTGCCTTTGAGCTGGAATTCTCCTTCTTCTATCCCAATTATTCTTAGTTTTGGTCTTTTCATAATGTCTCAGATTTCCTGGATGTTTTGTGTTAAGAATTTTTTTTGATTTAACATTTTCTTTGACCGATGAATCTATTTCCTCTATCATTTCCTGCTTGCCTGAGATTCTCTCTTCCATTTCTTGTATTCTGTTGGTTATGCTTGCATCTGTTGTTCCTGTTTGTTTACTCAGATTTTCTGCTTCTGGATTCACTTAGTTTGTGTTTTCTTTATTGCCCCTATTTCAGTTTTCAAGTCTTAAACTGTTTCCTTCACCTGTTTGGTTGTTTTTGTTTTTGTTTTTGTTTTTGTTTTTGTTTTTCCTGGCTTTCTTTTTGGTATTTATAGATTTCTTCCAATTTTCTGTTTGTCTTTTCCTCAATTTCTTTAATGGAATTTTTCATTTCCTCTTTAAGGGGCTCTATCACCTTCATAAAGTCATTTTTAAGGTCATTTTCTACTGCTTCATCTGTGTTGGTATGTTCAGGTCTTGCTGTTGTAGGACCACTGAGTTCTGGTGGTGCCATATTGCTCTTTATGTTGTTGAAAGTATTCTTACACAGACATTTACCCATCTGTTCTTCAAATTGGCATAAGAGGTGCTTGTGCCTATAAGGGCTGGTATACTTCCAATTGGTGTGGGTGGCGATTGTGCCTCTAGGGTCTGCTGATGTTGGAAGAGAGGGCTGTCCAGTGGAGGATGCTGGGATAGGTGTCGTTGGCGGTGGAGTGGATCTTGTGGGAACCGAGTCCACTGGGTGGCAGCAGTGCTGGTGGTGCAGCCTGCCTGCAGGTCTCTGCCCTGCTGGCTGCCTGCTGGGGTCTGCAGCAGAGCAGTGGGGTTCCACCAGAGTTGGGGGCAGGACCCAGCTGCCTTGGTGGGTTGAGATGGGAGGGGGATGGGCACAGGATGTGCCCTAGGGTTCAGGGCCTAGAGATTGGGGCAGTTTAGCTGGGAGATCTGGTACTCACCTGACCTTCCAACTGGTGCAGCTGTTCCTTGTGCCTCTAGAGGTTGCGGATGCTGTGGGGGACAGCTGGCGGGGGTTGGGGGAGGATGGGCTTGGTGGTCTTGGGCTGCGGAGTGGGTCTTTCAGGTCACAAGGTCCAATGGGTGTCAGCGGTGGTGCTGCAGCCTGCCTGAAGGTCTCTTATCTGCTAGCTGCCTGCTGGGTTGAGATGGAGGTGGAGGGGCATGTGAAGTGGCTTGGGGCTTTGAGCCTGGAGGTTGGGACAGTACAGATGGGAGAGCAGTCACTTACTTGTTCTTCCAACTGGTGTGGGTGGTGCTTGTGCCTATAGGGTCTGCAGATGTTGCAGGAGAGGGCTGTCCACTGGGAGAATGCTGGGGTAGGTGTGGGTGGGCAGTGGAGTATGTTCTGTGGGAATGGAGTTCAGTTGGTGGCAGCATTGATGGTGCGTGTCCGCGGGTTTCTCACCTCCTGGCTGGCTCTAAAATCATATTTTCAACGTTAAAGGTCCTCCCACATGTGAAGCGCAGAAAAGATCAAATTGAGAAACACATAACTAAAAATTCAGAATGATAACAAGAAATGCCTAACAACTTTTGGCAGGTATGTGGTTAAGTTAATGATTAATGGAAGTAAAAATATCTAATTATACATAACATTAGAAAGGCTAATTAATAGAAGATAGTGTCTCAAGGTTTTGAAAGAACTTTTTTTTTTCAGTATAGTATTTTATAGTTCAGAGAATTATTCCAATATCATGATTGGAAACCAAATAAAGATTTTTAAGACAGGCAAGGATTGAAGAGATCTGAAACAACACACATTTGTAAAAAAAAAAAATGTAAAGATAACTTTAGAATATGATTTACCCAAACCAAATATATAATGAATCTACTTGATATTCAAGAAAACCCACAATGAAAAAAAAAAATTCCAGAGTGACAATTTTACAGCTAGTCTCTAACACAACAGGTTGATATTAAACATAGACATTTGGGAGATCTATGATGAATTTCCTTAATTATGTACATTCATTTTGACAAAATGTATGATTTTGAAGTGGATAATCTTGGTGATTAGGTAAAAACACCTACTGCCTTTATCAACAGTTTGAAAAGTGATGGGCAGTTAAAAAACCCAGAGTATAAAAAATGAAAAAGAGTATGTTCAAAGTAATAAAACAAAATAAAATGTGATATAATTTTCATCAAGTAGGGGCCACTAGGATAGAAAATTTGAGGACTTTTGAGGAGGAGAAAAAAGCTATAAAACTGTTTTAGCAAATTCTCATTCTCTTACATAAAATATTGGGTACTAATGTCCAGAAGACACAGACAGACTACATCTCATAAAGACTAACACTTTTTTCCAAACAAGTAGAAGGCCACACAATGCATTTAACATTAAAGCCAAGTTGCATACAAGTTAACCATTGATTGTAGAGAAGAAATGCTAAGATCATACACTGAACTGGACATAGTGACACAGCCCTATATACTCAGTTCTAAAAAGAAGAAAGAGGATCAGAATGATGTCCCTGGAGCAGGGGTGGGGGTGCACTAGACCCTGCTTGAGAAAAACAATAATAAAAGACATATACTGATTGAACACTATAACTCTAAACACCTTGTCCAATCAAAGCATGGAAATATTGGATAATTTTATGTGGTACATATATAACCAAAAAGAGATCTTTATTTTAGCTTTATTTTACAATACACATATAGATATTAAAAACTCAGTCATTTTAAAAAGAGTTATGAGCCAGGTGGTGGTGGAGAACACCTTGAATCCCAGCACTTGGGAGGCAGAGGCAGGTGGATCTCTGAGTTCGAAGCCAGCCTGGGTTACAGAGTGAGTTCCAGGAAAGGCGCAAAGCTACACAGAGAAACTCTGTCTCAAAAAACAAACAAACAAAAGTTATGAAAACTCTGAACACTTACACATGTTGATTATGGACATTTAAAGGTAGAAATTACTCTGTAATATTCAACCAATGAACTTATTAATGACAAGTAGAATGGGAACCCTGCTTCAGCTCACCCCAATCTGCTCCCATGGTGCTTTACCTCAATCATAGTCTTTGCCAGCTCTCAGGTATCATAGTGCTTTTGTCTGAAAGGATAAATACACAGAGCACCAGAAATGACGTCGACAGGCCAAAAGGTTCCAGATCTTCCAGGAAAGTTGGGTACCCGTGAGTCTAACCCATCCAATAATTATTTATTTGTCTTACCTTCTACAGCTTCCCTGTTAGATAGATCATCAGTTGGCACATGAAAAACAGTTGGCTTCTGCTGCCAGTAATTGCCACAAAATAACTCCACTCACCGCTCTACATAGCTGCAAGTTCCATGTCAGCAGATTCTATCAACCAAGGATCTAAAACGTTCAGGAAAATTTTAATTAATTAACCAATTAAGTTTCATCTGTGCTGAAAATGTAAAGACTTTTTCTGCTATCATTATTTCCTGGACAATATAATGTAACCAACATTGATGTAGCCTCTACATTGTATTAGTTATGTTAGAGATGATATAAGTTTATAGGTGTTTGTAGGATCTATATAAATACTACACTATTTTTTATGAGATATAAGTACTCATAGATTTTTGTATCACTAGGGTGCCTTGAAATCAGTTCCTCAGACATACCAAGGCACAATTATGTCTCATGCCGAAAGACACAATGCATTTATTGACATTAGAACAATCAGTGTCCTTTAAGTAACATGAAAATGTGGTTTTGGCATCGTCCTGTTGCATAAATAGCCAGCCATGGATAGCAAACTTTGATACCTGCTACTGACCTGGGCTAGTTTTCACTTGCCTGTCAGGGTCTTCACGTCTTTGAATTCTTTCTCTAGCACATTCCACTATGGCCTCAGGCACTGGTCTCATCACTCACTTTGTGCCCACTGGTAATAACAGCCTATTCTGTAGCTTTAAACTCATAACATCTAAATTTCTATTTTGTCTACTCCACAGCTTGGCATAGTTTTAGGTTTGGGGGACCCTGTCAGCCATAAACCCAGCCACAAACTATATCCAAAATGCATAGATGTACTTCCTTTGAAAACTCAAACGTGTGGCAGGCACATTGTTATGGTTTCAATGTGAAATGCCCTCTTTATAAGCTCCCGTGTTTGAACACTTGGTTTCCAACCTGTAGTACACGTTGGAGAGTTAAAAACCTTTAGGACACAGGCATAGATGAAGGATGTGGGTTCAATGGGAGGGAGTCTTAGATATTATCCTCTGGCCCTGCCTCTGGCCAGATGGCTGTCTCTGCTTACTGGCTGTTGCCCACGGTGTTCCTGCAACCACCAGAGCCATAAGTTATTCCAACTGCTGTTCCTTCTCCACTGTGACGGACAGAAATCTCTCTCAGACCATGAGCCAAGACAAATACTTGCTCCATTAGTTTCTTTCTTATCAGATATTTGCTCATAGTAAAGAGAAAAGTAATGAACACACACATAAAAGGAACAAAATCAAGTTCACACGGACAAGCCTGACTGAGCGTAGACTTTGAGAAGCTGAGCCTGCTGAGCAGTCTCCAGGGACCATGGCTACACCCCTACAATATTCCATTCCCTGAAAGACAAACTCTGCCCTACTTATTCTATGACTCACTCAGCGCCTCGCGCCCTCTTGAAATTAACTCAAGAAAAAGAGTCCTCTCAGCAAAACCAAGTTTGCCTGCTTCTTTATATGTGGCCTTCTTATTTCACTATTTGAGAGCTCTGCTTCGGAACCACAGAACAGCCCAAGGGTCTTTTTTCTCCATTTTATATTGTGTGTCTTCTTAAAATTGTATCTTGGCTAGAGCTACTCTTTTTCCCTTGGTGGTTTCATAACTCACAAGAAGAACTACAATGCCTTGGAAGATCAACAAGAGTGCCCCAGGGTAGGTAAAACAAGTATCATATATAATAAACATGCTTGCTGGCTCTGGAACAGGAGCCTCGGGAAGACAGTCCAGCATTCTGTGTGGGTTGTGAACAAATGGGAACAACAGGGAAAGGCATATTAATACTTCAGGGTGACCTCACCCCCAACAGGTACAGTAGGGTGATCAGAAGGGATCTCTGAAAATGGCCCTGGCTTTGAGTATGAAGTGAGCTAGTGGATGTCCTTAGTGCTCTGAACATCTCACTAGTCTAACCCTACTCAAGGTTCTCGTCTAAATCTAAACATGTGCCTTCCTAGATCTTAGCCTAGCTTGTCTGTTGCCTGAGGCAAAAAGCTCTCTGTTGCCTATAGCAAGTCCTGGAAAATAGGGGAAAGAGAGGAAGGACACTAAGATAGAGAATGCAGTAGAAAAATAACACAGGATATGTTTTTAAGATAGCCACTGCTTTGGAATGAGTGTAGGTAAGAGTGCCTGGTATTTTGAAACATCTTCAGAAAGGATATATGAACTATTATACTTCAGAACAGTCTATAATGTCAGGAGACAGAATCTTTTTTTTCTTGTGCATGGATATATATATATATATATATATATATATATATATATATATATATATATAATTTTACAATACCATTCAGTTCTACATATCAGCCATGGGTTCCCCTATTCTCCCCCCTCCCACACCCTCCCCTTCCCCCCAGCCTACCCCCCATTCCCACCTCCTCCAGGACAAGTCCTCCCCCCGAGGACTGCAATCAACCTGGTAGACTCAGTTCAGGGAGGTCCAGTTCCTTCCTCCCAGATTGAGCCAAGCGTCCCTGCATAAGCCCCAGGTTTCAAACAGCCAACTCATGCAATGAGCACAGGACTTGGTTCCACTGCCTAGTTGCCTCCCAAACTGATCAAGCCAATCAACTGTCTCACCTATTCAGAGGGCCTGATCCAGCTCGGGGCCCCTCAGCCTTTGGTTCATAGTTCATGTGTTTCCATTCATTTGGCTATTTTTTTCAATAATTGAGTAAAACTGAAATTTATTATAAGCCACAGTTGTCCTAGGGACCTCCATGCTATATATATAGCCTCTATGGTTCTATGGGTTGTGGTCTGATTGTTCTTTATTTTATATCTAGAATCCACTTATGAGTGAGTACATACCATGACTGTCTTTCTGGGTTTGGGTTACCTCACTCAGGATGATTTTTTCTAGTTCCATCCAGAGACAGAATCTTTTTTCCTGGCTTTGTGTGGTGTTGATTTCCTGTAGTGGATGAGCTAATCCTCAGGATTGAGACACAGGGTCCTGCAGTTGCCAAGGATGTTGGGTGACCAGAAAGTTCAAGCCATTCTTCCCATTCTTCTCAGCAAATTGCCCTGTGCCTAGAGTCACCATAATTTTTGGAGGGTAACAGGCTACCAGGTAGTCATAACTTTATGTTTCGAAGGCAATTCAGTCCCTACCACAGGTACTGAAGTCTACCAGTGTGTACTGAAAGCAATTAGAGACAATATATAATTAAATCAATATGCTTGGGTTCCAATAAAAAGTTTTTATTTATACAAAGATAGCTGGCAGTATATGGGTCGATAGGTCATACTTTGCCTACTTCCATCCTAAGCTAAAGGAAGCTGCTTTGAACAAGGACAGACTTCTTCCCAGGAATGTGTATCCATGATCATCATGAGTGAACAAAGAGCTCCCTCTGCTCCCTTAATTTAAGGTGTTCCTGAAGGACTCCAACTACGGCTGAAGTCTTTGTTCTAACCAAGTTTCCCCTATACCCAATCTGACAATCAGGCTCTTCTCCCTCCCCTTTAAGAACTGGTTTGATCAAACACCTTTATAAATCTCCTGTATGTAAATCTCTTTCTTAGGCTCTGTGTCTTGCATAAACCTATACTAAGACCCCCAGAACCCAGGGATTGATTGCTCTTACAAAGTTTTGGAAGCAGAAAGAATTACCAGCAAGTGTCAAGGATTCTCACTGAGGTTAGTTTGATCCCTTGAAGCTTCTAGCCAAAGCTTCTAAGCACTAGGAACTCATTACATTAAAGGTTGGGGAGAATTATCAGAGATGAAAGCCTAGCAGAGCTGCCAAACCTACTCATCAGTGAAATGCCCTGCCACTGCTATGGCCCAAGTTGGCTTTCAATACTGGCTTTATTAGGTAAAGTCCACAGTAGCTCCAGCTGTCACAGGACAACTCCAAGAACCCACTTTTAACAAAGTAGAGAACCAAGTTTGAAGAGTGTGACCAGAGGCAGAGAAATATTCTTACATGAAACCAACTACTGTTTTTCATCACAAAATTTGGGAAATGATATTTCCAGTAAGTGCCTTGTTTTGAAGCTGTATCTTATTACAAGAGCATTGTAGAATATATTAATGAGGCAAAGATGTATTACATTTGTTTATGCTGCAGAATATTACTTTAACTGTGTAAAGGTGTGTTACTTTTGTTTATGTTGCATTTGTTTAATGATGTAAGGATGTGTATTTAATTATGTAAAGATGTGTTTCATCTGTTTCATCTTGCCTCCCTAAGGTACCTGATTGGTCTAATAAATAGCTGAATGGCCAATAGCTAGGCAGGAGATAAGATAGGCAGAGCTGACAGGGAGAGAGAAGAAGGAAGAGGAAAGAATAAAGGAGACATCCAGGGCGAGAACTCAGGTAGATATCAGCGGCCCAAATGTAGAGACAGCAAGAAAGTAAGAAAAGGTAAAAAGCTCCAAGGCAAAAGATGAAAAGAAACAGGTTAATTTCAGTTAAAAGAGGTAGCCAGAAACATGCCTAAACTAGGCCAAGCATTGAAAACTAACAATAAGTCTCTGTGTCATGATTTGGGAACTGGTTGGTGACCTAAAAGAAAAAGTTAGGTACACAAGGGCCGTGAAAATTGCAAGTATCTTACATTAAACTTACATTAAAAGTATCTTAGTTTTATGTCCCCAGAATCAAGCTTAGAAATAGGAATCTAAGGGCAAATAGTATATTTCATAGGTGATCCCAAGAAACACCAGTAGAGTGGTAGAGGAAGAGAGACAGGGCTGACTAGGCAGCCATCTAAGAATGTGTTACCCATCTACTTATTACTGTGAGTGACTGAAGAACAGTCCTCCCTAACTCTGGGGGCAGTGTAGGACATACATCCCTTATTCTTTTAAAAATGAGCAGAAGAGCCTGATTATTGATGTCAGTTCTCATGAGTCATTGGTAGAAAGCTAACCATAGCCGGCATGGGGGGGTGTATTTCAAAATTTAGTTTAAACCAGAGTGGTCTTTATCACAAGATAAAGCATCAAGCACAGAAACATAGATGCTGGAAGTTGGTAGATGTGTTAGACTTCCATTGCAGTGCTAAGATATATGAAAAGCCAACTTATGGAAAGAAGGATTTATTTTGGGACATATTTTCAGAGGCTTCAGGCCATGGTTAGCTATTTTAGGCCTTTCAAAGATTTGTGTATAAGAACCCATTGCCTACTATACAATACACTTTGATCACAGAACATGGGAAAATCAATCTGGAATTTATCTGCAAATATCCTCCTTGTGGCTAGCTTGCATAGTACCGTAAGCAGCTTTGTAGGCTACTGGGAAAGAAAGGTCAACATTGTTTTTCCAGTTTCTTTCTATTGCTGTGATAACACACTCTGACCAAAAGTAATTTAGAGGAGGAAAGGATTTACTTGTCTTACACTCTAGGTACATCAATGGGAGAAGTCACGGAAAGACCTCAAGGTAGGAGCTTGAAGCAGCCACCGTGGGTGAAGCACTGCTCACTGGCTAATTCATGAATGCTTAGCTCATTTACATAAGTCAGGAGCATCTTGACAGGGAATGGTGCCTCCTAAAGGGGGCTTGGCCTTTCTACATCAATTAACAAGATAACCCCCCCCCCCCAAAGACATACTTTCAGGCTAATGTTATTTGTGAAATTCCTCAAATGAGAATCTTTGCTCAGGTGACTTTAGGCTGCATCAAGTTGATAATCAAGCTCAATAGCACAACAGTCCTCCATAGCTGTGAACCAAAGGGCCTACAGTCATGAACAGCATAGCAAGATAGGCCCACTGGTGTCATAACATAAGAAATGCTTTAGAGATAACAAACAGTTTTCTATCTGTACTTACGAAATGTTCCAAAGGAAGAAATTCATGTCTTCTACTGTGAACCTGACTGTGGTGGTTTTAGTGAGAATGACTCCCATGGGCTCACATATTTGAATATTTGGTCCCAAGTTGGTAGAACTGTTTGAGAAGGAACAGATGTGTGGCATTGTTGGAGAGTGTGTCACTGTAGGTGAGCTTTAAGCCTCCAGAAGCCCATGCTATCCCTAGTTAGCTTTCTCTGTTTCCTACTAGTGGTGTCTTGAAATACCTAATTCATCGACCTAAGTCCTAACCCCTGATGGCCCTTTAATGCATGACCTAATTAATGGATTACTACATCAGCACTCTTCAGAATCCAATCATCACTGCCTGAAAATCAAGCCTTCCACATATGAGCTTTTCAGAAAGACACTTTAGTATCTAAGTCACAGTAGCATTTAAATAAGGATGTACTAAAGTTAATTGGGTATAGAATACTTTGGGCACTGTGTTGACTTTCAGTTTCCATTAGTAGAGTTTAAATTTTTTTCCTTGTCTCTGAGGAACCTCTGAATTTCACTTTTTTGTGTGAGTCCCTTCACTTAAGTGTGGGAGGGACACATGACTTTCTTTCAACCAACAGAATATGAGAAAGATGACGGGGCTGCCACTTCCACAATGAGGGCGCATATAACTGTGACTTCTGTCATCTGAGCAGATTCTCTCTTTCCCTGATTTTAATGAACTTAAGCTACAGGCCCTGTTGTTAGTGTGAAAAAGCTTAGAGGTGCTGGAGTCCTGATGCCCAGGAAATGTGAGATTCATTTCAGCAGCAGAAAGGATTCTAAAATGTTACTATGAAGTGCCAAGGCATTCTAGTGGACACCCAGTTGAAATGTTTGATAAAAGAACATCCAATGAAAATTTGTGATACACATGTTAGAAGCAATTAAACAGTAATAAAGAAGAAGCATGTTATTATAAATCATTGTACATGCTAAGACCTTAGTACATAGTTTTAGGTTGCTTCTTTCCTTCTTTCGTTTTTATTTTTTTGAGACAAGGTCTCACTATGTATTTCTGGCTGGACTGGAACTTGCTAGGTACACCAGCCTGGCCTCAAAACTACAGAGACAGAGAGAAAGGCCTGTCTCTGCCTCCCAAGTTCTGTAGTTAAAGTCATTCATGACTATGCCCAGCCCATGCTTTTTTCTGTAAGTAGTTTTATGATTATAATAATGACTGTGGTAGGCTAGGAGTTAGATGAAAACTTAAATCCCATACCCTCCATGAGAAATACTGAAAAAGAGGAAGTGCAACAGTCTAGGTAAATTCTGAACTTGCTCCCTGTTTCATAGGTACTCTCAAAGGGACAGAAGACAGAAGATTACCACTAAACATGAACCAGCCTCACAGACCTAAAAAGTGATGGCATGATGATATAAATTATTTTGTTTCCATTTTATGCATGGATTAGTCAATTTATTGTGTTTTAACAAATACCCAAGATAATTATAAGGAAGAAAGATTTATTTGGGCTTACAATTCCAGGGGTCTCAATCCATGATCACTTGGCCCTGTTGTCTTTGTGCCTGCACCAAGGTCGCATCACAGCAAGCAGTCCATTGGTTCATTGTAAATAAAGCCACTGGTATCATGGAGGCTGGGAAGCAAAGAAAGAGTAAGACACCTTTGAGGGCATGATTTCAGTTACCTAAAATCCCCTGACAGTCCTGCTAAACAGTAGTGAGTGCCGTGGGATGGGATCTAGGCAATATGAGAATCCAAAGAACAGGAACACCGTGATAATATGACACACATACTAAAGAGTGAATCTTAGCTGCAGAAAGACTCTGTATATTGGCGAAAACTATGAAGGAATCTAGTTCTGTTGTGGCTGATGTTTTCTGTCTTTACTCACAGAATCTGGCAAAAAAAAAAAAAAACATTTTGTGCATCTAATAAGGGAGAGAGAGAAAGAGGAAATCTCTCCATCAGCAATCCATCCTTCCAATAGTAACCAAAGCATCTTTCTTTCCTTCTGTCCCCGTAGCAGCAGATAAATTTCTTCCTCGTATTTCTGAGGTTTAAGGTCCAGAATAGTTCTTTTGTGGCTACAGGAAGGAATTGAGAATTGCTGTATATGTTATCTATGGTCCATGCAAGAATAGTTAGTGGATGGAGGGTGACCATTATAAACCACTAAACTCCTGCCTCTAAAACTACAGTTCAAAAAGCCTATTTATAAAGTGCCATTAAAATGGCACTATTCCTTCTATATTTGAACGCATTGTCCTCGACTTTCTGAAGTAATCAAATAAATAGCTATAAAAACAAAATAAAAAAGAACTTAGCAAGCATTTGAAACACAGAAATAGCACCATTCAAACAATTTGGGATAAAACAATTGATAGGGAAATCACCCCCACAACAATAGATTTTTCTGTGCATTCAACAACTGCCTAATAGTTATGCCCATCAACCTAAGGGGGAAAATACATACTACTATAGAAACCTCGGAATGCACTTTGCAATAGCTACAATTTCATAGAAATGAGACCTTATTTAAAAGATGGATTCTTAAAGCCATGGCAATTTTTTTTGAGTCATACTAATAGGCAGGGGAAGGGAAGGCTGCTTCAGTAATAGTGCTTTATGCTTCTGTGAAAATGCTATTCAATAGCCCACATGCTATTTCTCCTTCTATGTCATTCTTGATGCCCAAGCTGGGGTTCAGGGGGAGAAAGGGAGCTTGAAATATTAAATGTAGCAATGAAATCAGAGGACCTCCACCAACAGGAGCCCCTTCTGATAATCTCACTAGTCAATTATCTACTTTTCAATTTTCTTTTAATTTTATGAATATGGATATTCTGCCCAAACACGTGTCTGAGCACAACATGTAGGAAGTACCTGTTGAAGCCAGATGAGGTCATCAGACGCCCTGAAACTGAACTTAGACGGTGGTGAGCTGCCACGTGGGTGCTGGAAATTGGAACCAGGCCCTTTGAGGTTGTGGTCAGTGCTCTTCCTTAACTGAGCCATTTCTCCAGCCTGGATTTGTAAGTTTTTGTCAGCTTCACACATGTATGTAAGGTACTTCAGTCATTTCACCCCCGCTTTACCCTCATCACAACCCCACTCTTACTAAACCCTACTCTTCTTTTCAGCAAACCTGTTAATGCTTCAACATCTTTTGTTTGGGGGTTTTTTGTTGGTGGTGTTTTATATTTTGTTTTGTTTTCTTGTGTGTGTGTGTGTGTGTGTGTGTGTGTGTGTGTGTGTGTGTATGTGTGTGTGTGTGTGTGTGTGTGTTGTCCATTGAGTTTAATTAGGGTTGCTTATGTGAGTATGGGTAGGGCTTATTTATGGGAGCCTGGGTAAACTTAGCAGTGACTATTCCACTGAAGGAAACGATTCCCCTCCCCCAGTGACCATTAACTGGCAATAACCCCTAAGGGAGGGGTGGAGCTGCATAAGTCCCTCACCCCATTCCCAAAATTGACAGACCCAGCTTGTGCAGGTGGTCACAGCTGCTGTGAATTCAAGAGTGTAATGTGCTGCATCCAGAAGACAATTTCAGGGTGCTCCTCCCAGCCTCTGGCTTATATTCTTCCACCCTCTCTTTTGTGATGGTCTCTCAACTGTTTTCTAAATCTGAACCATGCCGTTTATGAGGAAGAAATCACCTCTTTACAATTTTTGCTGTGTTATTTAAGTATATAGTGTGCTGGTTAGTTGTTGTTGCTGTGTTATTATCTGGGAAGAAGGAATTTTAACAGGTGAACTACCTCAGTCAGATTGGCCTGGGGTTAAGCCCATGGGGCATTTTCTTGATTGGTATAGGAGGGCCAAGTCCAGTGTGAACTGTTCAACCCCTGGGCAGGTGGTCCTGGGTTATATAAGAAAGCAGACTGAGCAAGCCATGGGGAGCAAGCCATGGGAGCAAAGCCAGTAAGCAGCATGACTCCAGGTTCCTGCCTTGAGTTCCTGCTCTGATTTCCCTCCATGATGGATTGTTATCTGGGAGTTGTAAGATGAAATAAATCACTTCCTCCTCTAAGATAGTTTTGGTCATGGTGGTTATCACAGCAACAGAAACCTAACTAATACATATAAGGACTGAACACTGAACACTAGATATGAAAAGTTGCTAATACAGGTTTCTTTTAAATATGTATAAATAGATTTACCAATGAAAAATGAGCAAAACCACAAAGTGACAAAATACAAATTCATAACATAGATAGTACAATTAAAACAGACGTGATATTAGCCACCTGATATTCACAGTGTAAACATGCATTCGTTAATGAGTTTGTTTATTCATTCAAACACTAGCTGGCACTTGTTGCTTCCAAAGGCATATTCTTAGGAGGTGTAGATACATCAATGAGCTAAATAAACTGTCTTACACTCATGGAGCTTACATTATATTAGAAGAAGAGCAATAATCAAGTAAGCAAAATACATAGTGTATAAGATGATGAGGAGCACTAAATAAAAGAATTAAGGGAGAAAGAGATACTATTTGAGAAAAGGAGTAGCAGTTTTTGACATATGACATGAGCATCAAATTTGGATAAAGTGTGCCAGGTGTGGTGGCACACACCTGTAACCCCAATACTCAGGAAACTAATCCCTTAGGCAGAGGGATTTCAAGTTAAGGGCCTGCCTGGGGTATGGAATGAGACCTTGTCTCAAAAAGCAATCAAACAAAAATCCTTAAACAAGGTGGACTGAGTACTTGGTAACATGATGTAGGTTAAGAGTGACTTTTTAAAACAGAAGGCTCTGGTCCTATTTCTGTGCAGTTCTGCTATATAGCAGATTGAGTTCAGCAAACTTTTCTGACTCTATACATAAGTAAAGCTCAATTCTCTCACTTTTTCTTTTCAAACTACAGGTCATCTTTGATTGAAAATGATTTGATCTTGGGATCTCTGACTTTACAATGGTTCAAAAGCCTCCTGTACCCAACTGGAAACATACTTGGCTTCTTGGGTTCTTGAATTTGGATCTTTTTTCCGGGCTAGCAATATGCTTTCCTCTCTGGTGAGCCCCAGCTCCCAGGCAGACCTCTGGTCCTGAAGGGAAATAACTTGTACTTTATAGTGTGAAGCTGAGACAGTGGTCTGAGAGTAATGAAAAATCCTTCAGTTTGGGTTGTAGAAGTCTGTGTTGGGAGTTCTAAGATAGTCCTAAGATAGTTATTTTTCAAACACCATGACATGAGATAAATAAATCAGGCATCCCCATTGATATGAATGCAACTAGCAGTATTTGTAGAAATAATTGGAGAACATTTACAATATTGAAGATGAAATTGGGAAAGCCAGGCATGGTGGTGCACGCTTTTAGTCCCCGAACTTGGGAGGCAGTGGCAGGGAGCTATCTGTGAGTTCCAGGCCAGGCAGGGCTACATAGTGAGACCCTGTGTCAAAAAATTCAACTAAGATGAAATTAGAAAAGAAGCTAGGTGTGTTGGCTAATGCCTAAACTACCAGAGCATGTGAGACTGAGGCATAAGGATTGCTGTGAGTTTCAGGCCAACCTGGGCTACATAGTAAGTTCCAGGCCAGTCTGAGCTATAGTATGAGACCCTGTCTTGAAAAAAAAAACATTAAAAAGGAATGAAATTGGGAAAGAACTCTAAGATATTTTGCAAAGGAATTGTGCATGATGAAAAATAGAAATTCTTACCAGGTTATGGTCTAGATAAATGGATTGTGATTTTGAGCAAAATTTCTTAAAAGCATCACATGGAGTAGTAGATTATGTTGATAGGGTCTCCTGATTAATATGAATTGTATAGAAATGCTTTAAGGTGTATTTCTACATATAGAATAATTTTAGATTACATAAAACGTCTTTGATTTCAGTATGGACTTCATGTTAATCTATGATGCAATTTCAGCATGATAATATGCTTCTTAGAATACTATAATATAAGACAATGTATTTCATCCATAGGAAGTTTATGTTATTCTATGTAGTAATAATATAAATTCCATATGTATAAAACTTTTATCTGGGCCAGTGAAATGGCTCAGTGTATAAAGAAAGGTGCTTACTGCCAAGCCAGATAGGTATATATCCAGAGGTCCGTCCTGGAAACCCACACTGTGGAAGGAGAGAAGCAGCTCCCATAAGCTGTTCTCTGATTTCCACATGAGCAGTTACAAGCACACACAATAAATACATATTGTCTATGAGCTTTCTGCTTACACTTTTACTGATATCACCATCTTTTCCTGCCTTCCAGAATACATATATTAACACAAATCTAAGAGACACTACTGTCTGGAACCTCATACAATCACCATATTGTTGATTAGCATCAACGAATAATGAAGAGAACACTCACCTCTAAGAATTCACATTTATATTTTCATATAGTGCCAGAAGACACATGGTACCAGCATATGACTTTTTAGAGGTAATGTAGCATTAGGGTAAAAATCAGGCTCCAGAAGCAGACTATATAGCTTGAAATCACAGCCCTATCCACTGCTTGCCAACTGTAAGAAGCCCTTAACCTTCTTTATACCTTGACTTGCTAATAAGTAAAATAGATGAAATGATTTTACATAAATATGTGGTCATGAGGATGAAGCGAATTAGGATTTGTGGATCATTTAGCATAGTGTTTCACACATAGTA